ACAGCCACTAAATGTAAACAAACTGGTAATCAGACTTTTTGTCTACAAGGTGCCTGCTCAGTTTGAAAAAAATAGTGTTTTAAAATCTCCTGATTAAAGGAATTCAAATAAATGATCTTAAGACATATGAGCTTTGCATCTCGCATTGCAGGACATGACGTAACGCCACGCTGCAACTTGCAGAAGTCACAGCATAATGCGAACAACATATCAAAGACGGCGGACGAAGCAACAAAGTCGGACACCATGAGGATGACGACTTTCCTACCAATCGCTCTTTAATAGGACATATTCATAGTATCAATGAAAGCGCGGAGAAGAACACAGTGGCAGACAGAAAAGGGTATAAACAGCTTCATAACAAGCAACAAGACGACGTTTATAGCACCCACCATGCATGTCCATCATCCCCGGAGAGGAGCTGTTCTCTGGAGTCGTCAACTCTGAGCCGTATTTCTCATCTTTGCCCTTCTTCTTGTTCTTATTTTTCTACAAAAGACGGAAAAAGAAACCGCACACAGAAGCTCAATTTAAAAGCAATCAACATGTGAATTTGTCCTTGAAGAAAAGCTGGAACATTCTGGAACTCACATCATCTGATTTGGGCTCCGTCACTGGCACCCACTTGTAGATACGAAGGGACGTGTCTCCTACAGTCACCCATTTCTTCTCCCTGTGTAGGAGTGAAAACAAACTCAATAAAAAAAAAAGGAGCAAAGGCAACACACGTTTACTTTTAAATTAAAACACTGAGACATGATTTTTTCAGACGGACATGAACTGCAGTTCCCGATCACGCAGCATCTTGAGATTAAATAACTTTTAATTTCTAGATAAACGGTTTAACTCAGAAAGTACAAATACAGTCTGTACAATGTCAGTTAAAATACAATCAAAACCATTTCAATATCCCACAGCCAAGTATCACACAGTTTCATTTAACAGTGATTAATGAATAAAAGTTCACAATCATTTAAAGCAGAGGAGAAGAAGTATTTCTGAGGCTGGAAGCTATTTTCCTCAGAGTCTTATCGAATCTGTCAGTGAAATATATTTGTTTTTGTCTCAAAAAACAAAAAACTACAGGAGATTAAACACAATGTAGGACTTTGCCTTGAGGAAGTTTGGTAGAGTTTTTATGTTAAAATGATAATGAGATGCAGCTAGCCCAGTGGTTAGTGCGCACGCCCCGTGTACAGAACCTACAGTCCTCCAAGCGGGCGGCCTGCCTGGGGTTTGAACCCGACCCGTGTCTCCCTTCCTTCATGTCATTATCCCATTCTTACTCTCTCCATCCACTTTCCTATCTCTACAATAAAAAGGCCCAAAAAACTCCTAAATACATCTTTTTTTAAACGACACAACAATGGAATTACTTTTTGCCTACTAGAGACACAGGTTCATCAAATTAAATAGCAAGTGCTGATAAAGTGATAGTTTGTATAGTTTATAATAAGCACAAGAAGTCTGTATTATGTCTGTAACATTAAACTATTGTTCATTCATTTGTCAACAATTTGTAAGACTGATCAATGATATTATCTTTACAGTTTAAGGAAACAGCTAAAAAAAACTATCCATCACAGTCTACCCTACTGAAGCCGGTATTTATATTGATTTTTGTCAACAACAATCTAAAACCTGTTAAGACAATAAAAAGACTAAATAAAATGCAGCAATGTTTATTTTATTTTTACTCTGAAAGTTTACTTTTCATTTTCACAAAAGTCTTCTACTGACCAAATCATCAGCTTTACCAAACACTACTTTATTTACTGTAAGCTTTCTCTCATACAACTACAAATATTTATATTGAAAATCTAAGATTAAAAAAAAAAAAAGAAAAAAGGATTGACCTCTGAAATGTTGTTAAATATAAAGAACACAAAACATTGAGGGGAAAAAAAAAACTAAAGATTTATTTTACCAAAGTAAAGTATCAACATTTGAATGAAACTTCAAAACAAATAAAATAATAAAGCTACATTCCCGGAAAATACACCGTGAAATAACACAACCCATTAAAATGTATAAAGTTTAAATCATGTAGTCACATTTTATCAACAAAAAAAACTGTTCAAACTTCTTTTCTGTGTCTTTCACCTGAGGACGTTTGATTAAACACTGATAAAATATTTCACACTTCTACATTTGACCCACCCCGGCCTCCATAAAACAGCCTACTAACACAGTAAATATGTGTATATTCCAGCAGTTAAATGTGTATAAAAGCGCTCTTTTAAACAGTGTTTTAAACCATGAAGACTGAGTCACTACGTGTTCAGCCATGCAACTACTGTAGCCTACTTCCCTCTCCCAACCCCCACCGTGCCTCCTTCTCTATCAGACCTAAAAGGGCGACTCAAAGCGCTTAATTTAAAACTCCACACGGACACACAAAAAAACTACTCCGACTCAAGAGCGCCGTCGTCCAATTGTTCCCCGAGTCGAGAGTTATCGGACGTTTCGGCTCAACAAAAAAAAAAAAAACCCGCCGCCTTGCACTAACACACTCAACAGCGGGCAGCAATGGCTTCATGTGACTGCATCGAAATGGCTTCTGGTTCAACCCTTTGCTGTTTAAAAAAAAAAAAATCAGAGAGAGAGACCGGCTACGTGTTGTGAGATTCACACACCGGCTTTTTTTTTCGCCGCGCTGCACCTGAGCAGCGACTACATCTGCCGTTCACAAATTGTCCTGTTTTTTCTCTCTCTCCTTTCAATTTCATCCCTCGCTCCTCAGTCTCGCTTCCTTCCCTCTCCTCCCCCAACAAGCAAGCCTTTTCTCGTGTTAGATAACGAAGCCAGTTTCCCCCCTCCTCCCACCCTCCTGTTATTTTTACTTACCATTTTCGTACTTTCTCAATAGCGGCCATAACCCGCTTGATGTCATCTTTCGCCCTGCTCCGGGTCTCAGCTCGGACCGACCTGCCCGACATTGCCGCGGTGGGTATAATATTTTTTTTAAAGCTCGCCGGCAGTTCAGACACAATGCAAACAGTAGAGCGCACAGAGGAGCCGACTGCGCATGCGCGGACTGATGAAGCATGTAGAGAGAGAGAGAGAGAGAGAGGGAGAGAGGAGAGCGTGGCTGCAGCTGCACTGTGAAGGAGAGATGTGTCTCCTGCTGTGTGTGCGTGCGTGCGTGTGTGTGTGCGTGTGTGCGTGTGTGTGTGTGTGTGTGTGCGTGTGTGCAGGGAGAACAAAGAGGCTGCTAACAGCATGGATCTCCTCAGTGCTGAAGAAACTATTCTGTAGTCTTTACTGGAGTTAAAGTGCTCATACCAAATTGTAAGAATTCTTCATTAACATTAAAAGTCCTACTTGGAAACGTGGAAAGTATTTACAGTGTCAACTCAAGTACTGTGTTTGAATATAATCTGAGGTAGGCCTACTTGCACAACATTTCAGTGCTGAAATATAAAAAAAATTACTGCTCTATTATTAAGAGTCTCAGATTGCAAATGTTTCTCAAGTGCAGCATTTGGAAAGTGCTTTACTGACTAACTTTAACCTCAAACATTTTTTAGGGACTTATTAGCTGAGTTGGATAAAATATTTTGAGTTTTCTCTTCAGGTAGAGTTCTGTGTGACATCATTAGGTGGAAAACTACAGGTGGAAATGTTTATTGTAAGTGCCTTTCTAAATTTAATGTAGGTTAATTGTACGTACTTGCTTTTATTAGCTCGAGTACAAAAGGCTAGTGAAGTTAAATGTACTATAGGTGTACTTGTACTTCACTTTATTACAACCCGTAAAGCCTACATAATAAACAAGCATGCACTTAAGTAAAAATGAAAGGTAGTTGTGCTTGTTCTAACTGCTGAAGCCACAACTTGATAAACAGGGTAGGAAAGATGGTAAAACACATGCTGCCACACAGAGGGCTCATTGGGCAACATGTGTTGGGTTAAAGTTTTTTTTTGCTCCACAGCTTGGTCAAAAAATCCAAATAACTACATGACTGGACTTTAAGTAAAGTTATCAGGCATTTTGAATTACAACGTTGCCCTCTACTGCAGAACTTTGGTCAAAATGAGGAGTTCTGGTGTCTCTCAGCCTTTTCCATTAAAGCTTAGCAAAGAAAGATCAAACTCAATTTTACTAAATTATTCATCCTCTTCAGTCTTGTGCAAAGAATATAGTCTATGCATATGTTTCCTTTCCAATCGTATTTTAAAAACTTTTTTTTTTCCACAACAAAAGTCAAATACAAACATTGAAAAAGGTAGGCCTCCTGGAAACTCAGAAGAAACAAATGGGTGCCTAAAAGAAAATGTATACTCACAGCCTTCTGTTGTCACATCTGTAATTAAAATACTGCAGTGACAGTTATCAAGAATGATCTGCACCTGAATTATTCTAGACCACTTTTTTTGGTGACTAACCTGAGGTCCCTGAATCTATTTCTTTCATGCAGAATTCATTTATTTAGTCATTTAAAAAAAAAAAAACACTATAATGTAGCCTAGTTATAAACAAACATAGCCAATCCTTTTTTTTATAACGTCAAGTATTCGTCAGGGAATACGACTTAAGGTCAGTAATCATTTAGGATCTCCTTTAAAAACATGGGCTATTTATTTAAGTTTTTTTTTTTTAATCTATCAACATTACTTCTCCATACTGTAGCCTGCAGTATATGCCATGTGTGCTAAATAATGTTTTTACCACATTTTCTGGTCCATAAAAGTAGTCCTATTAACTGCATGTCGACTTAAAAAATGTATGAGTTTTTCATTTTTTTTTTTATAGATAAACTAACTACTATTTTAAGCAACATGTTTCCAACAAAAAAAAAAATCAAAACCTCAGAGTTCAATAGTTCCGACAGCACTCGAAGGGGGCCACATCGTTACGTCATCTCTCTGCGACACGTCAACACGCAGCTCTTTTTTTGAGGATGAGCTAACAACAGTGCAACACTTCAATCACCGGTAACAAACTTTCCTGACAGACTCAAGCGCATTTTCTTTGGCTTTATTTTTGAGAACTGTGTGCGAAACTGTCAGTGAAGACATAATTAATTCTCATACTGTTTGTTATTTGTTTTAAACGAAGTGAGCAGCTCTGGCATGTGTCACAACTGAATGAAATCAGCATCCACACAGGTTGGTTTTAATACTGAAGACTGCAGCTTATAGGCTCCCCTGTGGACGTGCAATATGAATGAAGAAGGTAAGTAGTTTCAAGAGTAATATTTATATTTTATTTTATTTTATTAGCAGAGCACGCTAACTCCCTTTCACTGTTTCCACTGAGCAGAGCTGGTGGAGTATTTCAGGGCTCAAATGAGCAAAGACCCGGACATGGCCTCAGCTGTGGCCGCTATCCGCACTCTGCTTGAATTCCTCAAGAGAGACAAAGGTTTGTTTAGCTCCAGTATTGTTTTGCTATGCATGCAGATCTTTACTTGTACGAGTGTGAACATACCACCCTAAAGCCCTGCTTTCAAAACCCTCATCAATTATGTCTATGTTGTTGTTTTCAGTAAAATGTATTTCAAATATGGCTTGTAGTTGTTAAAAAAAAAAATAGAGAAACATTTCAATAATGTTTAGTTCATATTTTACTACCTCTTATGAGTTACCCCGTCTTTTACATTTAAAAAAAAAAAAAAAACTGCTTGTTATGTCTACATTTCTGATGCCTGCTCCCTTCAGGTGAAACCATCCTGGGCCTGAGGGAGAGCCTGAAGTGGGCCACAGACTGCCTGACAGGAGTGGACTCCTCAGTGGCTGTGTCCTCAGGAGGAGAGCTCTTCCTGCGCTTCATCAGTCTCACGTCACTGGAGCATCAGGTGAGCAGAAAAATACCAACAAAAAAAAAGAAAGAAGTCCTGCAGTCTTCAATACATAAAAACAGGGGCGTCATGCAAGCCGAAATTGGGGGCTAAAATCAGTCAGATTAGGCGTCTTTCTAAAAAAAAAAAAAAAAAAGGGATTAACATTTATTATTAAAGGCATAAGGGTATTCAGTCTGAAGAAACCTGAGTCAAATAATGTCTCTCATTTTGTGTAGATTTTCTTATCAGATCTCTTCCATAATGTGAACTACAAAAAGCCTGACTAAATCCAACACAGTGCTCTGACAAATTCTAACGAAAGCAGCTACTGTTATTTGGTTTTAATCATTATGAGGCTTTCATACCTGCCTACCAGAGATCAGCACCTTTACCTGTCTGATGAATTTAAAAATGAGGATATAGGTTATAGTAGGGGTAGAAGGATAAGCCTGATTTAAAAAAAATAATTTCATAATATAATATTTTACAAAAGTACATTCTTTAACAAAATACTAAGATGTGGAAAAAAAATCCTTACAGAGTTGAAACAAATCTGAGGGGGCTCCAGCTCCCCAATTTGAATGTGCATGACGCATCTGCATAAAAAAAAAAAAAAATCATCTTATAGCAGCTTAAACTGCTTAAGCAATGTAAACTAGACAAAACAAGACCAACCTTGGTTTAAAAAAAAAATGTTAGACTTAATTTGATGATCCGTTTGGCACATCAGTCTGTGCATTACATAGTTCTTTTATGTCTTCTTTACAGGTTGCTCCAAAGTGATTACTTAGAGAGGGTTTAATCAAGTTGTTCGAATTGAACTGAATTAGTCTCTGCTCACTTCTGTGCCTCCGTCTGCAGGATCTGTCTCGCTGTAAGAAAGTGATGGAGGAGAGAGGGGAACTCTTTCTGGAGAAGATCTCGTTGTCCAGGACCAAAGTGGCTAAGCTCTGCCACACCTTCATAAAAGATGGAGCTGTAAGTGTATATTATTTCCACTCCTGTTTGTTAAATGTTAACAATAATGCAACAAAGGTGCAGATACTGTACTAAAAAAAAAAAGTCAGGGGTCATTTTGAGGTCTTCTTTGACCGATGAACAGAACCGTGACACCTTTTCAAGCAACTGATGAAAGAAAGGAATATCATTAACGGTAAAAAAGAATGACTGAAATACCAACAAGCTCTTCTTTCCCTCAGAAAATCCTGACTCATGCGTACTCCAGGGTTGTCCTCAGGGTGCTGGAGAAAGCTGCAGCTGAGAAGAAACGCTTCTCCGTCTATGTGACTGAATCGCAGCCTGACGCCGCCGGGTGAGCAAATACCGTCCGTAAAACTGTGTCTCAGTTCTATCCAGAAAGGACAAAGCGACTCATTGAATGATCCGTTCTTGTAAAAACGCAGGCGACAGATGGCAGACGCCCTTCGAAAACTCAATGTTCCAGTCACTGTGGTCCTGGATGCAGCTGTGGGGTAAAAACATTTACTTTAAAATCATTTGGCTCTACAACAGGAATACACCTCACGTCTTCAGCGTGTTTTCGTCTAATCTTTTTTTACAGGTATGTTTTGGAGAAAGTAGACCTGGTCATTGTCGGTGCAGAGGGAGTCGTCGAGAGCGGAGGAATCATCAACAAGGCGAGTTTCAATAGTCAAGTTCATATCAGGCTCTCTGTGGATAACTTTGTGGGACCAAAGAGCCGAGTTAAATCTTGTTTCAGCACTTTCCTATTAAAGAGGGGGAGTTTTCTAAAAGTCTTTAACAGGTGCATGGGAGTGCTAGAAGCCCCTTTTACACTGGCAGTTTCTGGGAGGATATTTGTGTCCCTGGGTGGTGGAAAGTTGTTCAACCCTGATCTGCCATCAGTGGTAGTAACAGAGGTGTAACATCAGATTTGACGTAAAGAACAAAGCAAAAGGACAGCAGACCTGTGTTATGGCGCTGTCGCAGAATTACAATGTAAGAAACAAAGGGGGCTGTATGTGTCTCCAGGAGTGACTGCATCAGAATCTGATGAATTGCTTTGAGTGATGTCAATGGAGTCAATGTGAATCAGGGTTGTATCGGGAATCTGGAGTTATAAGTGGGTGGCTGTGGCTCAGTCGGTAGAGTCGTCGCCTATCAACCGGAAAGTCGAGGGTTCGATCCGCAGCTGAGCAACATGTCCGCTGTGGCCTTGGGCAAGACATTTAACCCTGCATTGCTCCGCTGCTTCAGTGGCGGTGTATGAATGGATTTGTGTTGTACTTACTCTCTGATGTACGTCGCTTTGGATAAAAGCGTCTGCTGAGTGAATTGTAGAATAAGTTGTATTTGAATTGCAGAACAAATGCAAATTAGTCTCAAAAGTCTTTATTACAAATTAAGCGATGAAGCTGTTTTAGGCAGACATAAACCTGTTCAAGGACTTTTTTTGTTAAAGATAGATGAAAAAGAAATTGTGATAATGTTTTTGCAGCTGTCTTCAGTGAGAAATTCCTCATCTGGCACATAACCTGCAGCAGGGTTAAGAGCACATTAAGAAACTAGACAGAAATAGTCAATGTTATTAATCATGGTCTGCTTTGTTTTTTTTTTAGTCATTAATAAATGCATCAGGTTAAGTTTCAGTCTGTTTCTTTACCATCAAAACTCCTCACAGGAGCTTTAAGATCTGAAAAACATACAGAGGAGTGAGGTGTTGTGAGGTCTTATACATCATAATAATTCAAAGAAAACTCAAGCAGACAAATGTGGAAGAGTATAAAGTTCTGAATTTCATGTTGAATAAATGGAGAGTGGCTGAAAATGTAAAGACTGAATAAAAGTAAAGCATGTGATGCATCAGAGAGATCAACATTTCTCCTTCACTCCTGCAGATCGGCACATATCAGACGGCCGTGTGCTCCAAAGCCCACAACAAACCGTTCTACGTGGTGGCAGAGAGCTTTAAATTTGTCCGTCTCTACCCGCTCAACCAGCAGGACGTCCCCGATAAATTTAAGGTATTTAACGTCAGGGAATTTCAAATCTGCATTGATCGTCTCTTTGAGTATTTCTTTTCACATCTTCTCCTCGTCCTCACTTCCACAGTACAAAGCAGACACCCTGAAGACCGTACAGAACCTTTCAGAGGAGCACCCAATGACTGATTACACGCCCCCTTCCCTCATCACCCTCCTCTTCACCGACCTGGGAGTCCTCACACCCTCAGCTGTCAGCGACGAACTCATCAAGCTTTATTTATAAAGAAAAAAAAAACTGTGCCTCAGAACGCTCAATAAAAATATCAAAAAGGTCAAAGTTTTGGGATTTATTTCTGTTTTTTCTTTTACACGTTGTTTCATCAGACTTCCTCCTCCTCCTCTGGGCCGTCGCGTGAAGCTGCTTCTGTTTTGTGTTTGGACTTTGGTCCACTTGTTACCCGATTCTCAAAGTCCTCCTCGCTGATTTTACCTTTCTTTAGTTTCTTGAGAAGGCGAGTGTCATTTAAAAGCTCCGCCATGTCTACATCTTCAATGTCGGAGTCCTGCAGACAAAAACACAAAGTAGAGCTCTGAATTAATGTTGAACTTCTCATTCAAGACCACTTTTAAATCTCTGCCTCACGTACACATGACTGCATTTTTTTCACAGTCTGATCTAGTATCAGATTTCAGGAGTTCTGCTGGTTTGCATGTTCTACATAAACAATTTGACCACTACCGTAAAAAAAAAAAAAAAACAAGCCCACGAGTTCTGAATTGGATGGTCACTGGTTGAGAAATACCTCATTGTGTTTCCTCTTGGCGGCGTTCTTCCTCCTGCGATCCTTTCTGCTCTTCTGTTTGGACCAGGACTTGTTCTTGATGAAGGTCCTTCTGGGAAGCCGCGGCTTGTCTTTCAGCTCGGCGAGCATCTTCTGTCTCTGTTTCTCCCTGTTCTTGTCCTTGTAGCGGATTGTTTCTGTGTCTATCGTTGTCTGGGTGAAACCAGGAAAATATTTGCCCCTCAGCTCAGGCATCTTGGGGAGGCGGAGGAGGGCGAATCCGCGGGCTAAAGTGGCATAATTCAGATCTAGATGGTAAAAAAAAGTAGCATTAGATGACATGTTTATACTTTATGAATTCTGCTGAGTTTGTGCTGGGCAATAAAACAGAAGACATTCTCACCTTTAACTCTGAAGATGAGGCTACACTCGTGTTTGGCGTACGCCTGGACGCAGGAGACAAAGGCTCTCATGCTTCTGTCGAACATGGCTCGGTCCGCCAGAGACATAGCCTGAACCTTCGGCAGCACGTCCACAACATCACCTATAGGGGGCATTGGCTGCAACGGGCACTGAGGAGAATACAGAGTGAACTTGACGTGTGAGGGCTGGACTGTGGAAGTGCGAGAAAACAACTCATGTTTTATCTGTGACCATGGATTGTTCAAGAACTTGAAGTAACCTCAGACTCTTTGAAGCACTGAGAAGCCAAAGCAGTAGTGTTTAAAAACCTGCTTTCTTTCTAATGTGGGAGAAAGACTTTAACAGTAGAACACAAAGTAATGGGTGAGGTCTCTGTAGCTACGTCCTCTTAGAGACAGTCTATAGCTGAAACCTACATTAACAACAAAATGTCCAAAACTTACTTTCTGGTTGATGGACAGAAAAGTGACGTAGGACTCCTCCATTGGCAGCAGGAAAACGAGGGCGTTGCCTTGATTTCCAATGCGCGCTGTACGCCCACATCGATGCACAAAGGCACTGAAATATAGAGGAGAAACAAGAGATAAGTTGTTATCGCAGTATTAACAATAAGTCTGAATTTATCACAATAAATAGGACCTGCTATTTACAGTTACAGTATCTTATTGAATAAGATAAAGTATGTCACTTTTATAATACCAAACACACCATTCTATTTTAGCATTTTGCTTTCTCACCTGGCACTGCTTGGAGGATCATACTGCAACACCCAGTTCACATCAGGGATATCTATGCCTCTCGCCATGACGTCTGTGCACACCAAGATCCCACTGCAATGCAACGTGTGTAATATTTAATAAAGAAGAGTTCCACTTATACATAACCCGATTTTTTGTTGCACCTGCACACGCACACAAAGTCTCACCTTTTCAGTGCGCGGAAGTCTGCAAAGATCTTGTTGCGTTTGTTCTTCATCTTGCCGTGGATGCAGTGGACCGTGACCTTCTTGATGAGCGTCTCGAGAGCTCGACCGTAGTACTCCACACACGCACACGTACTGATGAGGACAAAGACAGTTACTACACACCGACAGAAGAATGTTTGAATTGAAGACAAGTGACAATGAAATGCTTGGGGCAGTTTAATCTTGATTTTAGCATAATAATTGATATTTTTCATCTATGTGTAGCTCCTGACATCTTTGTGATATTTTCAGGAGATTCAGGGTAGTGGTGCACACAGACTGTTTCAATAATTAAACATAAATAAGTCTTGATCATAGACTGTGTAAAACGGTGGGTGAAACAACAGTCCCCTAAAAGCGAAGCCAAAAGATTTAGAGCTCCCCCTGTAGACTGGCTGAAGTATAGGTCATATATCCCGCCTCCTCTATGTTAACAGATGGGCAACGAGTCTTGCTTAAAAATGAGAATGCACGTCAAATAAAATGTTCTCACACGCTCCGCTGTCCTGATGGTTAATTTTTATCATTCTGGTTTATGTTTAAAGTTTTATTTTTCTAAGAAATTTAGCTTAAACTAGTTGTTTGATGCAAAAACGAGCAGATGTAAAGACGTGATTGACAGCTCTGTTAACAGATGTTGCTCATGCAGCGTTCTTAAGATATATAAGATAATCAGAGCAGAGGAGAACCGGCCAGAGAAACCCACCGAACACAAACACAAGAGTCATTTAACTTTCTAATAAAGAGTTTGTGCTTCAATCAGACTCTACAATTTGTTCCGCTGTGGACTGTGATGACTTGAGGGGATGCATTATGGGTAAGTTTTGTGTTTTGGTTAGCTGAAGGAGTGTGGCATCCACCAGCCAGATCCCATCTGTGCATGTCATGGCTCAAATTGACATCACCAGCGGAATATGCCAGTTAATGTATTGAAGGTACGTTGGCTTCAATTTTGTACAGTGGATAAGAATGAGATGCATTGTCCATATTTCTAAACAGTCTTAATCGGGGTAAACAGATGTGGCCACACACGCAGCCACCTTAACAATGTTGAGATATTTTCAGGAGTGCAGTGCATTAGTGAAATGGGCTTTTCAATAGATATCATTTAGTCCCCTGCTACTAAAACACATTCAAACATGCTGAATCTCTTCTATGAAAATGTACTGTCTGATGTTTCCGACAAGTTTAACACACCTGAAGAAGACCAGATTCTTCTCGTGCTTGTGTTGCCGTAGAAACGCCACCAGGTTGTTGAACTTGTCTTCTGATTTACAGATCTGGAATGACATGGCTTGTGTTATTACAAAAATGATTTTGGTTGGCGGGTTGTTTTGGAATCAGGAATCAGACTAACTCACAGTGTAGTAGTTGGAGAGTCTGGAAGGTGTTTTCTGGACGGCGGAGGCAGCCACGCCCTTCTCTTTGACGGTGATACGTACGGGGTTCCTAAGCCCCGCCCTCACCAGCTTCTCCAGCTCCTGAGTCTGAGTGGCTGAAAACAAACCTGTACGTCTCTGTTTGGGCAGGTAGTCCAGGATTGTGTTCAGACTGGAAATACAAATGTAGACACACGCTGTTAATAGTACAAAGACTGATTTATCCTAATAAAAAAAACAAGTCAGATTTATGTACATCCATTAGCACAAGAAGCACGACAGGGCTTTGCATATCGAGCTAATTTCTTCTCCAACCAAAAACATAAATTCTGTACCTGGCTTCAAATCCCATGTCCAATAGTCTGTCGGCCTCATCGAGGACCAGCACCTCCAGACTCTTGACGGAGCCGGCCAAGTCCAGACCATCTGACTTTCTCCTGAACATGTCCTCCAGACGACCAGGCGTCGCTATCACAATGTTCGCTCTGAAACACACAAGTGCAAAGATTTACAACAAGGTTATTATCATTATAGAAAACTGATTAAATGAAAACTTTTCCATGAACTGAAGTTAATGTATTTCCTAAATATGATGAGTGACAAATGATTTGTCTTTTGTAGAGGGTTGTTTTTGTCCTCTCTGTTCTGTTGGAATGCATTCTTCAAAATGGTATGATGTTTGGAGTTTCTATTACACGGTGCTTTTTCTGCGGGCCCTTTTGGATCTCGGCCCTGACAAGTGTCCCATATTAACAAAACACTAAAACTAACAGTGACATTTTTTTAAAACTACACGAGAGGCACTGGTAGTCTCGTGGTTGGTGCACACGCCCCATGTACGGAGGATGTGGTCCTCTAAGCGGGAAGCCCAGGTTCAAATCCAGCCTGTGGCTCCTTTTCCGCATGTCATTCCCCACTGACTCATCTCTACAATAAAAGATACAAAAGCCCAAAAAAATGTAATAAAACATAGCTTTTTCTAGCTATAAAAAAAGTTTAGACTTAATCAACAAACCAGATTGTTTTAAGTAATTAAAAGTTAATTTCAATTTGAAACAAAAAAAAAAGCTAAAACACTTTAAAAAAAATATATATATATTTTTTTTTTTATGACCATCTGATGTCCTGATAGTCTTGTTGGGGTTAAAAATAAATTCTCCAAAATATTTTTGAAACACTTTCAGAAAATATTCAATTCCCAGTGTCGAGTATAACAACATACTGATGCAACTCTGAAAATATGCTGGTCAATGCAGAGCTGCCATCATACAGTAACATGTTATAGTTCTACTGCAGTAGTGCTTTAATGGTCTCTGTAATAAGAAGGCATAGTTATTCTTTCGTAGAAATGATAATTGTACCTTTGTATTTATCACATACCCTTGCTCTTTGAACTTCTCCACGTCCTCTATTGGGTTGCTGCCTCCAATCAGTAAAATCTGCCTGAAAAACAAGCATTCAAAAACACACGATCAGGGGAAAAAACTACGGAAGCCCTAGTGGACATGCATCCATACATGATGAATAAAGCTTCAGAAAAAATCTAGCAAGTGACTAAAGAGTGTCTAAGCATTATTTAAACGATCAAGACAGAACGAAGACGACTCAGGTCTCCTTCAGCGTCTTTGTACTTACTTAAACTGTGGAAACTTCTGGATGAACTGCTCCATGACTTCACTAATCTGCAGAGCAAGCTCTCTGGTGGGAGTGATCACCAGGGCACCAACCTGCAGGTGAAGAACAAACATTTACAGCTCAGCACTCTCCCAACAAACTAAAGGTTTGAAAGAGCGTCTCCTAAAAGTTTCGCCGGGAGGGAAAAACAAACACCAGGGGCCGTATTCACAAAACTTCATACGAGAACCACGAGTTACTCTGAGCGACCAAATTCTAAAGAAAACTCTTAGTCAAAACATTTCCTTATAATTACCCCTTAAAGTTAAGACTAGATCATTCACAAAGCACCTTAGCTCTCAGAGCTCTGAAGGTGAGTCAGTGTTTGGAGTAGTGAGGAGGACTTTTAAGAGGCTGAAGAGTTTCTCAAGCAGAGAAGAAAACAGAAATGTTCTCCAAACACTGAATGAAGAATATTATCATTGACTCATAGTTGGGCTAAAAGACAAACATCATTTATGCAACCATTTCAGTCCATCTATGACTTTTTTCAGTGAGACAGAGTCCCACTAAATGTGGTTTGCTCCACAGATGTATCTTTTCACTGATTTAAAGCCCTTCTCATGCTGATGTAACTATCAGCATGTGATGAGACTGCTGCACCAGTGAGCATGTGTTTTCAAATATATAGTAATGTAAAGTACGGCTTGCAATTTAATCAACAGAGATGTTCATGCCTGGCTAGAGTCTATGACTGGGCCCAATCGACTTCATCGTCTTTCTATGGCCATTATCTCTGAGTGTCACACCTCCGCACTAAGATACAAGTTTCAGTCGCTTCCTTGCTCAGAGTTGCTCTAAAAGTGTTCCTCAAATCACTCCTAAGCTCGGACTCTGTCAGCTCAAAAACATGGGAGCGTTTTTTTCTCAGATGGTCTCCTCCTCACCTGCATCTTCTTGAGCTTTTCTTCTCTCTTCAGGAGCAGCTCTATGATCGGAATGACGAAAGCCAGCGTCTTTCCGCTCCCAGTCACCTGCAATGACATGATGTTTAGATGGTTTGATTCATGATGTGTTTTTGTGAACTACTCAAAATGTCTTAATAATTAGTGGTCTATGATTAATGTCAGGATTGACATATTATCAGTTCGTCTATCACAGTTGTATCAGTGTACAACAATAATGCTGGCATGTCTTCTTATCAGCACCTGTTTAATAACATCAATATATTTTAAAAGCACAATTCAGAATCTTTTCTTAGTGACTAATACAAAATGCCCTGAGATAAGAAAGACATACTGATGATGGCTGATGGGAAGTCTCTGCTCACTACATCTAATCCTGTCTCATCCACATACTGCATATCAAATGTAAATCCATTACTTGCATCCCTATTTATAAAAAATGGTACCAGTGCGTCTGGTGGATGGTAACTTTGTCGTCTCTGGCCACCAAGAAAAACTTTACACATTGTACAAAACAAACAATAACAGCAGCAAAATGTAGTCAAGGTAAACTGGTTTATTTAACTCCTGAGACAACAAATAGTTCAGAATAATTTTTAAATAATCTTTAGTGCATATTCAGATTTTAAAGTGATAAATTGCATTTAAGTAACATACTAACCTTCTAAAAAAAAAAACATAAAAAAATATCTTAATTTATTATTTCATGAACATTTTTGCACTCAAGTACGAATGTTATAAAGCAGCAAATACCTAAGTTTGTTAAATAAAATAAATAAAGTGAAGTTAAGGTTTAAGTGACACTTACCGCCTCAGCAGCAACATCTTTGTTTCGCATGAAGAGCGGGATACAAGCAGACTACAAATAAGAAATCAACATGTTAGAATAATAAAAAATCAGGCACTGTGTTAACTAGTTTGTAGGAGTGTAGCAAACCAAGTGTGAAGCTTTAGTGTTACCTGAACAGGTGTCATGTGTGTGAATGTGAGCTCCTCGAGCGTTTGTAAAATGCTGTCGTTGAGTTTGACAGGTAAACTGTCCCACGTTCCCTCCGTCGCATTGTCCATTTTTTTTTATTTATGATGAAGAGTTTGATGCTAATCTTGTTAGCCACTGCTGAGCTGACTCTCCACGCTGCTCCTGCTTCCGGGTGCGCTGATGTTTACAAGCCGGATGGGAAACTAAGAGTTATCACGACTATAGTTCCGCATGCCCCCCACACCCTCACCACTGTTTTTAGCTGGGTTTTTAGTCTCTTATATATCTGTAGGCCTACATATAAGTGTGTCCAACAAAGAAGGTGAGAACAGTAGTGTCTCCTACTTACGTTATATATATTATATATGTATATACCCCGACCATAGACTGTTTGGACAATGCATCTCCATTTCATCCCACTGTACAAAACTGAAGCCAATTTTAATATTCTGCTGGTGCTTATGTCAATTGGAGCCATGATGTGCACAGATGGGATCTGGCTGATGGATGCCACGCTCCTTCAGCTAACCAAAACACAAAACTTACCCATAATACATCAGAGATCCCCTCAAGTCATCACAGTCCTCAGCGGAACAAATTGTAGAGTCAGTTTGAAGCACAAACAAAGGACGAGCTTAATACTTTCATATTTTGCTGAAACTTTTAGTCTATATAAAAACTTGTTTCATTGATCATAGATAATCATGTGAAATCTTGAGAGACTAAATAAGCAGGCATACATGCTTCGGATCAGATATATCACAGTTTGCCCTGGATATGGAGTTCTGTAAAAGCATAAAGTAACAGAACGTGGATGTCATTTAAAGTAAATAATTACACTTATATTTACACAGCCTTTCCTTACAGGTTTTCAATCTGCACCATGCTCTAAGTTAGTTTAGTCTAAGCGTATACTGGACAAGTAAGTACTGTACACATGCATGCAAATAAAATAATCAATAATATTCAATAAAATCGTCATCCAAAAGTTCATAGTTGTGCATTGTTTTTGTGTTTATAGTACATGGAGTGTTTCTTGTACGTTATTATTTGGCAGTAGCTCAGAATTAAGTTGGGAATCGGAGGGTCACCGGTTCAAGTCCTGGCATGGACCATGTCCGGAAATTGGTCTGGTAGCTGGAGAAGCTGTCAGGGCACTTCCTGGGCACTGCCGAGGTGCAACAACAACAAACCCCAAAACTGCTCTGGAGCGCTCGCTGTGGAGCCCCCTCACTCTGAGACCTCTCCATTAACGCATGTTCATAGGGTCCTGTTAGTGTGTGTATTTCGGCTTATGTGTGTGTAGCATGTTCATTTAAGAGAGCGTTCCCCTCACGGGATTAATAAAGTATAAATGATTATTATTTGTTTGGTTTTTATATTTCTTGTAAAGGTATATACCATCTATCAAAACATACAGACATCCTTAATATATTATTTATGAAAAAAACTATAGATGACCATGAGATATCTGTTCATATTTTCAAAGGACACTTAATCTGAAATGGCTGCAAATTATTTCAAAGGTTGTTTGCTCTGATTGGACAATGATTATTAATTGAAAAAGCAGTCAGACATGATACTTTGCATGCAAATATTAAACCTGGTGCGGCTCTGCTGGAATACAAACCTGCTTGATGTGATTTTCTAACTTTTGCATGATGGGCTGGGCTATTACAGTATTGATTTTGTTTTTGACAGATTTCTTCTTTCAGACTTTCTCAGACTGAACTGGGACACACTTTGATTCCCCTTTGTTCCCTGTAAGCGGTTGAAAAGGTAAATCACATCTAAACAATGAATATATATATATATATTTTTTTTATTTATGAATGTGTGAAAGCAAATGCCTTCAACATGCTTCAGGATGTTAGAGCATGTGAATGGATGGAAAAGAGGGTAGGATGTCGCAGTTTGCACAGCTCCTGTAGGCGGCAATGAAGGGCTTGGAAAAGGCCTTGGTCACAGATGAGAAGAACCTGCGTAAGTTGCATTTCTCTGACGATTTCTTCTTTGAAAATAGTGACGAACATAAGCTCTTCCTCTTTGCAGTTTTTGGTTCGAGGGGCTCAACCCTGGACAGGTGAGCTACCAAGGTCTTGACAAAAATGTGGTCGAAGGCTTGATTTTGCTTTTCAATGGCTGACTGTAGCAAGCTAGCAGTGCAAAACTCTTCAGTGAGGTCGCTGAACACGTCGTAAAGGATCTCATCTGTGTCAAGAGCCTCGGAGCTGATAATGGGGATGTTACTTGCTTTGATTTCTGCAAGACACTTTTCTGTGAGACGGTTAATTATTGCTTCAGCGTCCGCCTCACTTGTTGGTTTGCTGATCAGTGCAGCGTTGTGAATTAACAGCTTCCTCAGCAGCCTCGAGACAACCTGCTCCTTTTCAACCTGGGGAGACATCAAGGCGTTCTGGATAGAGTCCTCGTCCCCCTCAGAGTTTGCTGCCCAATCATCATCTCTTGGACTGACAAAAATCTTTGACAAAACCTCGTCAATGTCAGTTAATACTTCAAAGACTAGATCCGGCAGGTTCTCTCCGTCTAGGTCGTTTTTGAACCAGAGGAGCACCTGCTGCAAAAAAACTCTGACCACGTCTTCTGTCATTGCGTATGAAAGTTCAGGTGAAGCTGCGAGCTGAAGGACGTCCTCTTCCTTTGAGACCCCGTATATAGCGGTGTCTGACAGCAATCTTCCTTCTGCAACCGTGGGAATCTGATAAGTCTGCCCCTTCATCAAGTGACAATAGATGTCTTCAGTGAGCTTCTTTGTGAATCTTCTCATCGTCTCACAGGAGGTGACATTTTCTACATTTTCGTAGATATCGTCCGCCGGTAGCCGTGGCAGGAAAACCTCCTTCAGCATCTCCTGGACATTGTCTATGAGGCTTTTAATGCTGTTTTCACTTTCCTGACAAGATTCCTGCTCACTTAAGTCAATGGTTGTTGTCCGGATGATAGCAATGCAAGACTCAATTGAGGCGATGAGCTCAGGAGAGACTGGTACAGCACCTGGTAAATCACACTCATTTGGCATTTGTTGAGTATTTACCTTAGGCGATTTGGACTTCATTAACACAGAGCAGTCTTTAGCTGGCATAAGAAACTTGCTCTTGAGTCCCTCCACAACACGACGTAGGTGATCTTCAGAAAACCTTTGGAGGTGGCGCCATCTGAAGTGGATATTTGTAGCAGGGTCTTCTGATTTTGGCAACTGGGAGGCAAAAAAGGCTTTCAGCTTACTCACCAGCACACCTGAACTCACATTGGACAAGACTGGGAAGTCAGTTATATTTGGTGGCCCTTGGCTGGTGCCATCCACAAAGTCCAAACACGGCAGGGTTTGAGCAATCAAGTGAATGATGTCAGTCGCTACAGCACGAGCGGTCTCAGAGGTAGCCTCAGCTTGAGTACTACACGCTGTCTGCTTTGCGAGGATGGAGCGCACTGCTTCAGTGGCTGCAGTGACAAAGCTGTCTGATTTGAACTTCACCAGCTCCCATATGGGTCTACCTCTGTCTGTGGGGCTGACTCATCTTCTTTGTCCATCTCTGCAAAACATTGACTCAGGAGTCCTGCAGTGCAAGCTACCATATCATTCAGAGTGCGGATGCAGGATATGGTGCTGCTTACAAAAAAAGCTGGTTCTTTCGATGGTGAAACAGGTGTTTTGATGGCCGCCGATAGGACAAAATTGACCTTCAGTGCCACTTCTTGGGTAACCAGCTGGGTCAGGTTGTCTGAGAACACACTGGCCAGTCCCTGAACCTGTAAAACCTCGCTGAAACTCTGCGCGAGTGAATCTCCCAAAGAGAAGTAGATGCGCTCCTCAGATACTCCAAATAAATCTGATGACAACTTCGCCTGAGGATGGCTGCCAGTGATGTACTGATGAACCACAGGCATTACAGCATTCAAGATGACTGTAGAGACAGACTGAACAATCTGCATACACATTTCTGCCAATACAGTTCTTGTTAGGGAGTCCAAATCTCCAGCTGCAATCATCCTCCACTGTACTGGGCTCAATCTGTCCACCATTGTCCAGACCAGTGGGCAGAGAGTCTTGGATGTAATCAGAGGGATTTCACAAATCATCTCAGATTTGGACTGTGCCATTGCAAATAACAAAATGAAGTTAGTTGAGTAGCTGCTTTTCTCAGGAGTTTGCAATATGCTTTCTGTCGACTAGGTGGCTTTGAAATGACTTGCTGTAGGTGGACATGGAACACACAACTATGACATGGCTTTCTACTATGATATCATAATGGTCAGAATTCCAGAACATCTCATTCATTCTCTGCATGAGCTGCAATGGTAACTACTTGGTATCTGGAATGTTTACATCCTTCAATTGCTCGTGGTCTTTGTGTTAAGATTTATATCATATCATTTTGCAAAGTAGAGTTTACCTCCCGACTAATTTGTTATCATATTTACATTTAATGACAAATTATCTCTGTCCTCTTTGTTTGTTTAACTTTTATCATTGTAGAATAAAAGTAATTTAATGTTTAAGCAACTCTTGCTAAATGTCCTGGTTCTTGGACATGGCACATGAAAAAACATGTGCCATGTCCAAGAACATGTTAGTAATCACACCAGTTTTAATAATATTAACTTTATTAATAAAGACAAGATGTTTTCTGTGAGAGCAGTCAGTAGAGTATATCACTAGTTAGTTTGATCTGGAAATTGTGATTCAAATAGGATTTTGTTGGCAAGTAAAAGACCTTTAACTTCCTGTTTAGTGATGTCTCTCCACTTTTTCACATTTCCAGCCACTAGATGGCAGCATTATTGAAGCGATACTGGCCACAGCATTGACCCTGAAATTGGCACAATTTGTTTGATCTTCCCTGTAGACACAAACAATGTATTATCATAAAGGTTCATGTTTTATATATATATATATATATATATATATGAAATATTTAACATGATTAATTACATTCATTGTTGTATTGATGATACTGAAATGGGAAATATTATACATCTGGATAAGATGTAGATAAGTAAAGATATACATTATATTGAGGAATTTGACTGGTATAGCCACATAAATATTTGTTGGCCCTTTTAACTGCTTTAACTGAAATATCAAAATAAATACAATGACTTGAATTTTAATCATTTTTATGTAGGCTATATTTCTGTAAACCATTCTGTTTACGTGTGG